TACAGCAGCAGCAGTGGCTGCTCCATCATCTTCAGCAGCACCTTCCCCACCTACAGCTCCCGTGAAGCTTCCCCCACTGCTCCAGGCTACAGTCAGGCCTGTACTGGGGGTTCCTCAACCACCTCTGTCTCCACCAAAGACTCCCTCATCACCTTCCATGGACCCGGCTTGGGTCCCCCCCGCTACATCCACTCCATCTAGGGAAAATGAGGACAACCTTTCCCTTTGTTTTCTATCCCCGCCTTCACTACTGGAATTACCGGAACACTCGGCAGGCATGATAAGATCGGCGATGAAGACTATTCCTCTCACACCCACTGTAGCCAGATCAAGAGTCCTATCTAACATTCAAAACCACTCCCCATACGTACCTCCAAAGCTACCTAGGGCGTCCAACTCAAATTCTCCCACAAAATCCACCCGTCCCTCCTCTAACCCCATAAGTATTCCACCCCCCCCTCCTGCTCATTTAGCCCACCTCCCCCCTAACCCAGCACCAAGAAACCCTCCACCTCCACTCCCCCCTCGTCCACCACCCAACTCAGCCTGCCCCTCCCCTAACCCATCACCAAAAACCCATCCACCTTCAACCCCCCCCCGTCCAACTCCCAAGAACCACCTGCCTCTCCATCCTCTTCCCCCACCTTCCCCTTCCCCTCTTCTCTCTAAGCACTAGGATGCACAGGGTCTCTGCTTCGCAGCCACTGGCAGTCTAGTTAGAGGAGAGACCCGGCTGGGGCCCTGTCATGAAGCCACCTGTGCCATTCCTTTAGTGATAACACAAAGAATACATTACAGAAAAACATCTGAAGTTAATCAGTCTAATCAGGAAAATCTAATTCTTGTTCCGTGTAAGAATCAGCCGACCACAACCGCTGATACTGAAACTTTGAAACTTGCTATGCTAAATGTCAGATCTCTTTGTAACAAGTCTTTTTTAATCAATAATTTTATTTGTTCTTATAATCTAGATCTTATGTTCATGGCTGAAACATGGCTTGACCAAAATACAGAAAATGCAGTTTTAATAGAAGCATCACCACCAAATTTCAAATTTGAATCTGAAATACGGGGAAACAAAAAAGGAGGAGGCTTAGCTGCCATTTTCAGAGACCACTTTGTCTCCCATAGAATGTCTCTTGGGAAGTTTCCGTCTTTTGAATATGTGTCTTTTAAAATACAACAAAAACAATCTAGTCCAATACTCTTCATTGTCCTATACAAGCCACCGCAGTCATGTCACAGATTTATTGATAATTTTACGGAGTTTCTTTCAGTTTTATGCACAGATTTTGATAGCTTAGTTATTACAGGGGATTTTAATATTCATGTGGATAATGTTATTGACAGAAAGGCAAAAGAGCTGAGTTCTGTTCTTGAATCTTTTGGTCTCACTCAGCATGTGAGTGGCCCCACCCACAGCAGAGGGCACACTCTAGACCTGTTAGTTACTAAGGGGGTGAATATTTCAAATGTAAACGTGGTCGATGTTGCGCTTTCGGATCATTTTTGTGTATTTTTTGACATGTGTTTCACTAACAAACCACCAGTGGACTCTGCAACTGTACGAAGAAGACACATAAATGAAAATACGGGTGAACTATTTATGGGAATGATAAACTTTGAGAATGCATCGTATTCTACTGTAGATGAACTGTTTAACTCTGTCACCTCTAGTGTTTTGAATGTTCTGGACACCATCGCTCCTGTGAAGGTTAAAACAGTGAAAAATAAGCAGAAGGCGCCGTGGGCTAAAGCAGACTCGGTCAGGGCACAAAAGAGAGAGTGCCGGAGGGCCGAGCGGAAGTGGCGCAAGTCCAACCTCCAGGTTGACTACGAGATCTTCAAAGATAAGTTGTGCGAGTTTAACCAGGTGCTACGTAGTACGAGAGAAAGGTATTTTTCTGAAATGATTGAAGGCTGCAGCAACAATCTGCGTGTTCTGTTTTCAACAGTTAATAGATTAACAAACCCCCCTGTTCAGATGCCATTAGAGCTAACTTCCAAACGTAAATGTAATGAGTTTGCACATTTTTTCAATGACAAGGTTCAAGGCATCAAAAACGCCATTGTCTCCAATCCACAGATAACCATCCAACAGCCTAAAAGGCTCTTTGAGCTAACTTACTTTGCACCTGTAAATGATCAAACTGTCCAAGAGATAATCTCCAGTCTGAGCGCCTCCACATGTAGCCTGGATGTACTACCCACTAGATTTCTAAAGTCTGTTCTGAGCAGTCTGTTACCTTCACTCACACAGATAGTAAACATGTCCCTTCATTCTGGAATATTCCCAAAGGCCCTGAAAACTGCAGTCATCAGGCCCCTGCTTAAAAAGAGCAGTCTAGATGCTACGGTACTTAACAACTACCGTCCCATCTCAAATCTGCCATTTATGGGGAAAGTCCTTGAAAAAGTTGTCTACCAACAGCTAAATAGATTTCTTATAATCAACAACTCATTTGATATGTTTCAGTCCGGCTTTAGACCCCACCACAGCACTGAGACTGCTCTCGTCAAGGTTACAAACGATATCCGGCTAAACACTGACGCAGGCAAAGTCTCAATCCTAATCCTGTTAGATCTGAGTGCTGCCTTTGACACTGTCGACCATGAGATCCTCTTACAGAGACTAGAGAACTGGGTTGGCGTCGCTGGCACCGCCCTAAGTTGGTTTAGGTCTTACCTTGAAGACAGGAAGTACTTTGTGGAGATTGGAAACTGTGTCTCAGATCATATGGCCCTGACCTGTGGAGTACCACAGGGGTCGATCCTGGGACTTCTTCTTTTCAATCTCTACATGCTGCCGTTAGGTCAGTTAATACGCAGAAACGAAGTTTCCTATCATAACTATGCAGACGACACTCAGATCTATGTCTCACTGACTGCAGGAGAACATGGACCAGTGGACTCACTCCTTCACTGTATCCAACAGATCAGTGAGTGGATGCAAAACAACTTCCTTCAGCTAAACGCAGACAAAACTGAAATGATTGTCTTTGGTCCCCAGAAACAAAGAGAGAGCGTCATCTGTCATCTACAGTCTCTCTCCCTAAAACCTTCAAAAAGGTCAGAAATCTAGGGGTAATACTGGACTCAGACTTAAATTTTAATAGCCACATCAAATCAGTAACATCAGCAGCTTTTTACCATCTAAAAAACATTTCCAGGATCAAAAACATAGTGTCTAAAGCAGACTTGGAGATTCTTATCCATGCATTTGTCTCCAGTAGGTTAGACTACTGCAATGGCCTGCTCACAGGTCTGTCCAAACAGGCTGTAAAACAGCTGCAGTACATTCAAAATGCAGCAGCTCGAGTCCTGACTAGAACCAGGAAGTACGACCATATTAGTCCGGTCCTCAGGTCTCTGCACTGGCTTCCTGTGGCTCAGAGAATAGACTTTAAAACAGCTTTGCTTGTGTACAAGTCTCTCCATGGCCTTGCACCAAAATATATTAGTGACATGTTAGTCCCATATGAACCAGCCCGGACTCTGAGGAGCACAGGGACTGGACTCCTGTTAGTGTCCAGAGTCAGAACTAAACATGGGGAGGCTGCTTTTCAGATTCATGCTGCTAAAATCTGGAACATTCTTCCTGAAGATGTGAGACAGGCCTCCTCTCTGACTATGTTTAAAACCAAGTTAAAAACTGTGCTGTTTAGCTGTGCATACAACTGAGGGATTTTATATTTTTATCTTTCTTTTTAATGTTCTGTGATTATTTATGATTTTAATGCTATCTTGTTCAGCACTTTGAGTTGCCTTGTGTATGAATTGTGCTATACAAATAAACATGCCTTGCCAAACATGCCTTGCCTATTTTTTCCTCTTTTCCTCTTATTTTTTTATACTTCCTGAAACTACCATTACGTCTGAGTCCTCCCATGGTGCCTGTTACTTTGAAACTGCACCCGCCCCTTGCACGGTGGCGCCGAAACAACAGCAGTAACACATTGACTTCATCCAATTACTCCATGTTCCTCACGAGTCCTCGTCCATATGCTTCCAGGCAGAGCTTAGAGAGTGGGATTACTATTATTCCTCCTAACAGATAACCTTTTTTGATAATTATTCATAGAAAATGAAAATCACACTGATTAAAGACTTGGAATTTCTACTATTGTTTGATTAGTTGGCTGATTCAAATCTGTAAAACTCTCCAGATCTAAGCAGCAGCAGCAGCAGCAGTAGGAGCAACCATCTAACACTATATTTGAAACATGTATTTATTGTTTCTTTTCGCTCAGCCCCACGGCCTAGTTTTGGCCTTGGTCCACTTTGTCCTGCGTCGTGGCCATACAAACAATGCTGCTGACAATATTGAATTTTCCCTCAAGGATAAAATAAGTTTGTTGAAATGAATTGTCTGACGATACTAACAATTTACCATCACCGTCTACAATCAAATGGATAATACTTTGAACAGTATGTGTCAGTTTCTTTCGAATCAACAATAGAATTAAAATCAATAAAGAAAACATTAGGCATCAGTCCAACGAGGTTCATTTGGTTTTCTGATAGATACTGCGAGTTGATTCTTTTTTAAAGTGAGTGTTTATTTTCGCACACATAACCACTTTTAAGATAAGATTACTTTATGTGCAGACTGGATGAGGTCGGGATGAGGGCGTGTGTAGAAGGACTTTGGTGAGTGCAGAATGGTTTAGTTGTGGGTTTAGTTAGGTGCAGAATGATATAATGAGGGGAACCAGAGGGGGAGAGGAACCAGAGGGGGAGTGGAACCAGAGGGGATGTGGAACCAGAGGGGATGTGGAACCAGGGAGGGGAGTGGAACCAGAGGGGGAGGGGAACCAGAGGGGGAGAGGAATCAGAGGGGGAGGGGAACTAGAGGGCAAGTGGAACCAGAGGGGGAGAGGAACCAGAGGGGGAGAGGAACCAGAGGGGGAGTGGAACCAGAGGGGGAGTGGAACCAGAAGGGGTGTGGAACCAGAGGGTGAGTGGAACCAGAGGGGGAGTGGAACCAGAGGGGGTTGGGACTAGAAGAGGAGTGGAACCAGAGGGGGAGGGGAACCAGAGGGGGAGAGGAACCAGAGGGGGAGGGGAACCAGAGGGGGAGTGGAACTAGAGGGGGAGAGGGACGAGAGGGGGAGAGGTTCCAGAGGGGGAGAGGTTCCAGAGGGGGAGAGGTTCCAAAGGGGGAGTGGAACCAGAAGGGGAGAGGAACCAGAGGGGGAGGGGAACCAGAGGGGGAGAGGAACTAGAGGGCAAGTGGAACCAGAGGGGGAGAGGAACCAGAGGGGGAGTGGAACCAGAGGGGGAGTGGAACCAGAGGGGGAGTAGAACCAGAAGGGGTGTGGAACCAGAGGGTGAGTGGAACCAGAGGGGGAGTGGAACCAGAGGGGGTTGGGACTAGAAGAGGAGTGGAACCAGAGGGGGAGGGGAACCAGAGGGGGAGAGGAACCAGAGGGGGAGGGGAACCAGAGGGGGAGTGGAACTAGAGGGGGAGAGGGACGAGAGGGGGAGAGGTTCCAGAGGGGGAGAGGTTCCAAAGGGGGAGTGGAACCAGAAGGGGAGAGGAACCAGAGGAGGAGTGGAACCAGAGGGGGAGGGGAACCAGAGGGGGAGTGGAACTAGAGGGGGAGTGGAACTAGAGGGGGAGAGGGACGAGAGGGGGAGAGGAACCAGTGGGGGAGTGGGACCAGTGGGGGAGTGGGACCAGTGGGGGAGTGGGACCAGAGGGGGAGTGGGACCAGAGGGGGGGGAGTGGGGATGTTGGTCGAAAAGGTGTCATGTGTGCAGATACAGTTTGAGACACTGTGCTCCGGTCTTTTAAAAAACCAGGACTACAAACATTCACACTTTATATATAGGACTTATTCAACACCATGTAAGCTTGTCTGTATGAGATGCAAGCCGGCACTGCACCATATGGTCTGGGAGTGTCCGGGGGTCAGGAGGTCTGTCCGCTCTCTTGTCGTGCCTGGTCCTCTGCTCTCCACTGGTCCTTCTGCTGAATGACTTATTGGGATTGGACTCAAAAGTGCGAATCAGAGAGTTCTCCTCGCACCCTCACTCAAGAGTACTATTAACAATGGGAATAGTACCTTAGACCGTCCAATCAGAAGTCACATTTTCAGATTTTCTTTTGGTTTTGGTTTCAGTTGTCTCCTAATGTTGCGATGTTTTGTTAGAGTCCAAATATTTCAGATATGACAAATGAGGTGATGCTAGACTCTATACAGTAGCTTGTGTTCATGTGCTTTTTTCAACTGAGAACAAACATAAGTTATTAGTTATTTTTATTAGTATTCATCGGAAACTGAAGACATTTATGGAGATTTTTGTTTATGCATGCCTTTTTGATTTTATTTTGCTTTAACTTGTTTGCACCGAGTGCCAAAGCAATTTCTTGGTTTGTGACTTCTTCTTACTCACGAAGGCTATAAAAAAGATTTTGATTCTGATTCTGATTATTGTTATATCATTATCATTATTATAAATATTACAATATTTTCATGGATCTATGATAATAACTGGATAGGGTATTACTAGCTTACAGCTGTCCCACCCATGGGTACAGGGGGCGCCCGTGGTACTGCAGACTAAATTCACGCGGGTTACCCAGAACAAAATCCCATACAACTCAATGTAACCTAAAAGAGCTCGACCTCAGCTGACAGAGAACCTACAGCTTTCAGAAATATCGGATTTTGTGGGGATTTTAGTGTCCCTTGTCATCCTGAACTTTTTTCCTCTTAAAGCTTTCTGTTTTCTTTAAATCCACATTTTACTGCCACAAACTCTGCTCCTTTTCCTTCCCGCTCTGACTCCGCTCTGCTGCTGCTCTGATCAGCAGCTCTGATTGGTCAGAGCGCGGCCGAGCCCCTCTGTGCACGTGCATGAAAGCCACACACGCGTATTTGGCGCAACGCATCATGGGAGCTCGTCCACTGCGCAGAACCGTGAGGACCAGACAATGCCCAAACATAGGCGAGTTTAGCTAATTTTTCGGTCCCCGTGAAGTCCCATGCGCTACTGAGCACAAACCATTAATTTGAATGGGGCGCCATCTTGGATCACCGGGGCTTGGTTATTTTATGTCTTGTCGTTATGTTTGTCTATTCTGCTTTGGGTTTGAGCTTTTGTGTTTATGTTTTATGTTGTGTTGTGTTCTTGTTGTTACCGGTTTTTTGTCTTTAATAAAAAATGAAAATAAAAAAACAACATTCTCCCAATTTATTGAGGAAAACATGAACACAGCATATGATTATAACAAATCCAAAATACTTTCATTTCCTGTATTCTTGCTTTCAATTATTTAGATTTCTTTTGTCACAGATTGGGAACATTACAAAATCTAATATAGCGTTGGCCAACACAGCGCAGTCTCTTGTCTAATTTTACTTTGCCAGACTCCATTTCACCTGAGCTCACCTGTAAACAAGTCCACTTTCTGTCCATTTCAGCTTCAGCCTCGTCTGGCTCCAAGGTTTTGGGTCTAACGTGGCCCTTGCACCAACACTAAAATTTCTCTCACGTTTGCCAGTCCATCCTCCATCCAAACTGTTCTGCTTTTAATTTTCAGCTCATATTTGTATAGCCTTCGGCACTAACACGCTGTAATACCTAGTGGCAGACAGGACCCACATGCTTGTACATCACTGCACTATTAATGGGCTCCGCTCAATTAGGGCCAGAGTGCATTTCGCCCCAGCGTTATTTAAGTTAATAACTCAGGGTTTTCTTGCTGCTGCTCATAATCAATACTTCATTTGGATATTCATAGCAGTACACCTGAGCAGATATAGCTGCGTACGCATTTGGATGTGAGGACGAGAAAACAAACAACATTTTGAATCTGTGCCGCATTCCTGATTGCCAAACATGCAAGCGGGTAAGAGATTGTGAGTGTGTGTGTATGTGTGAGTGTGTCAAGGCCTTCCAAAAATAGAGACAGAGATTTTTAATTTGAGCACTTTATGAGCCCATTAAGCTGTTTAAAAATGCAAACCTCCTCACTTGAACTGTATACAGACTTGTTTCTTTTTTTGGTAATGTACGCTTTGCTTAAGGCATCTGTCTGTTCTTGACAAGTATAAGGGCATGTTGGGTTGTTTCTGATATGGTAGATAAAGGGAAGAAAAGTCTCTTGTTCAAATAAACGCCTTTGAAAATCCTTTAACCAGGTGTATCATTAGCTCCTTGTAGAAGCATTGTATTCTTTTTGACCTGGTGGAATCAAAGACTGCAGCTGTGGGCTACCTCACAGACCCTGCTGCACTTAAAAGCACCTTGGATTCACATGTTTAGAAATAGTTGCTCTGTGAATTTGTGATTTTTTTTGCACAGCGACTTCAAAGAATAATAGGATAATTATTGCACTTACCACCAGAGGGGAAGAAACGGTGAACCGGAAAAATAGAGGCAAAGAGAGGGGAGTAATGAGCACTCAAAGTAGACAATAAATCTAATAGCGTGCAAATTGAATGGAAATGCGCTTTCAAAAGGACATCAAATGTGGGATTACTATGATCAAGTTTGACGCTGCGATTTTGACATCTTTTTGGGGCTTTGCTTAATCAGAAATTCATTGTGGTTACGTTTGATCAATCTAAAACCGTTCAGGAGCAAAACAGCAGAAGAAAGCAGCCGGTGTTTGCGCTGGGGTCGACGCAGCACGCGCTCAACACTGATTAAATTGCAATCGATTGGTGCAAAATGTCAGGAAACGTAAGGGTCCAGTGCCACTTAATGTGCATCAGATGAGGGGAGAAGGTGTGCGCTCTTATGTATTTATGTGTGTGTGCGTGTGTGTGCATGGTATCACTCATGTGTCACCCATTGCGCGGACAGACAGACAGACAAGGAGCCCAGTGCCGGTGGGTTTAATTGCCGTTAAGAGTGGGGTGGTCTGTTCGAATCTCGCAGGCGATGGTCCAGTCAATGCGAGTCAAGAAGAGCCACTCAACAGGCTTTGAAGGGAAGCAGTTGTGTTTACTTATCCAGATGGGATTGTGGGGGAGGGGCGGCTCTCTGGGCTGATAAAGGCCTCACAGCAGTTTGGGAAGTGAGAGAGCCAAACCGTGGACTGCAGGAAAATAGATCAGACGCAGTAAAAGAGAGGCATTCGTTGTAAACGCATCTCTGAAGGAAAAAAAATAAAGGGGGAAAAAACGCAACTGCGAAAAAGATAGTGATTAGAAGGTGTACTTTGTGTATTTATGTAGTTTATATGTGAATTTTGTAGTTTATTTAGTAACGCTATGGATGCGATCGTGGTGTGAGATCTATGGACTGATGGAATATTGAATGTATTGAGAATTGTATAAAGACTGAATGATGAATGATGATATTGTGTCTACATGCTTAAAGCCAGGGTACGTAACCGTCAAACCAAGGTGGAACTATTAAGATTAAGATATCCTTTATTTGTCCTACAGTGAGGACATTTCAGTGTTGCATCACAAGTTACAAACAGTAGGAATGTCAGGAATGAACCAGATAGAAACGGATTGTGGTGCGCCAAACTCTGGAAGTTTATTTAAGTTTCTCTCAAGTTCCAGTGGTTTCCATTGTTTCTTTCTCTCAGACAGAATTAAGGCAGTACACAGTTTATATAGTCATTGTCACGTCACACATCGAAAGACATACGTGTCACACAGAGACAGTCACATCGTAGTCAAAACATGGAGTCATCATCAGAGTCCTTGTATAGTCCTGCACGTAGGCCATATTGCTATCTAATCCTAACAGGAATGAGGAGCACAAAGCACAAGATAAATTAATAATAACTCCATGCTAAAATTAAATTAAAGTAGCAATATGTAAGAAAGGTGTCGGTCATAGACTCTTGTCTATTCTGATATTATGGTCCCAGCTGGATTTGTTTGCATATCTGGCAACCCGAGTCAGGGAGAGTGGGAGAGGTTGCAGTACCACTTTTGGTCAGGTTTTTACATACTGCTCCTTTAAATATAATACAATCTAAAATAAGATACAATCTCTACCTTTAGCATAAAAAGAAGCATGATAAAATCTCTTTCTTTAGTATTATAGGAAATAAGTCTAAAATCTACAACTTTAGCATTATGAAGAAGCAAGACTTAATTAGATCCATCCATCCATCCTTTTTCTTCCCCTTAATCCATTTGAGTCCACAGAGGCTGAGATCTTTCAGCAGGGGCTTCAGGCAAAGTGGGGTTAAGTGTCTTGCCCAAGGACACAACGACAGGAGACATCAGTGGGACACGTGAAGTAGGTCTTACGGTGGGCTCAATCCCACAACCTTCAGGCCCAAAGGCCAATGCTCTACCAACTGAGCCACTGTCGCCCTTAACTTAATTCAATCAAATCAGTATAATTAATATAATAAAACATTTTCAGAATCAGAATCAGAATAATTTTTATTGCCACTTAAGTAACAGGAAGTCACAGACTTGGAAATTGCTTTGGCTCAGTGCAACAGTCAGAGAGAGATAATAAAAAATAAAGAATAAAAAACACTTCTAAGGAATAAATTTAAATTTAAAATAGAGTTACAGTTACTATTTACAATATACAAGTGCACATGGTGCACACAATGTTCCATCTCTAGTTTTCACGTGCATGTTTTTGGCTATTCTCACATCTTAGGATCAGCTTTGTCAGACAGAAAAGTGAAAAAGAGAGGACGTCACTCTGACAATCAGCTTTCAGCCCAAAGATTCAACTACTGACTCTTTCTTAGAAGACAAGGTTGAGGTATATTTGTCCTCTGCATTTGACCCATCCTTCCATTGCCACTACTCGGGCATCTCTGGACATTTCACCTGTTTTTAGTGGTTGAGTAATCAGCAGTGCTCAAACCCAGGTAGACACCAGAAGAACATGCAAACCCGACTCAGAAAGGTCCTTTTCCGACATTACCTTCCTGCTGAGAAGCGAGAGTGCTGACCCTGCAAAAGAGGTTTCGGTGTGATTTGTTCGCAACATTTTACTTTATACAAGACTCTTTTTTTTCTGTTGGGATTAAACATTTATGAACAAAACAAGCTAGGTACCCCAGCTTTAATGCTCGGGGTTGACAGTGGCCATCTTGTACATGGGGTCATGTGTGCGTACAAGTTGGAGCGTGGTAAATGTGTGTTATTGTTGACAGGGTGTTGATATTGTGTATAATTTAATACCCCTGGGAATAAATGATAAAACTCAGACTGCAGATGGGGCACGCTACTTAGCTATAATATGGTGTGTGACATTTCTGTTTCTTGAGCCTGATATATTGTTCTTTTAATTCAATACAATTCAATTCAATTTATTTTTGTATAGCCCGAAATCACAACAGTATAGCTATCTGGGAGGACTTTACAATGTTTTTGATTCACCAATACAGATCAGAGACAGTTTAGACAACGAAAATAAAACGATAAAAACAATAATAGTTAAGATTTTAAATAAAGAATCAACTAACTAAAGATAATTCCCAAATTCTGTGCTTTTAAAGAAACTGCATTATAATCACTACTGAACAAAAAGAGTATATATAGAACTAATTTACGACATTCCTGATTTATTGACTTTCATTTTGATCAGAACTAGTACAAGGCCAGGTAATCGCATAAACGTTTATATCCCTTGTCTCGATATAATGTCCCTCTTATGCCAGGTAATGACCACAGGGCTTTTTGGCATGACTTTCTTATAATATCCAGCTGTAAAAAAGACCATAAAGTGAATATTCTACAGCTTTTCATACTTTGGGATAGAGACCACACTGTTTTATACTTTCTATAACTATTATTGTTATTATGTATTTAAATTGCTTTGCGCTCTACACCCCCAGAACATTTTGCACTAGTTTGTTTCCAGCCTCAGTGGTTATCTCTTCATATGTGGCTTGTGTTGGATAGATCTCCAAGACTCAAAAGATTAAAAAATGAACTGGAAACTACAAAACCCGCTAATTAGTCCGGTAATTAACCATGAGGGGACGGCCAGCTCTGGTCAACCTGCTCCATTTCCACTCACACGACACAAGAAGATTATTCTTCTGGATTACTTAAATGGCTCTGGCAAGAAAAAGCCATTAATCAAAGCCCCCCTTTGGTCAGGAAATAGCTCCCATAGAAAAATATCTACAACCTTCCCATTTCTGCGGAGGAATTCTGGCTGCGCTATAAAGCACAGTGTCATGAATGACTGGCCCCTCTCCAAAGCCATTAATGATGTGATGATTGAACTCTAATTCACAGAATAAGCCAAGACACTCAAAATGTCATATCGGGTTTGTCAGCAAAGATCGTTCCGACGGGCCAAGGTCACACATCAGAGAGATCGGATCGCAGCTGAACTTTCTGCTCTCCTCGTGGTGCGCTGCGGACTTTAGCAGAAAATGGAAGACAAGAGGAGTAGAATCTGAACTCCTCTCGCGCTATACCTTT